TACACACAAATGCAAAAATACACAAACACACACACGTATATACACACACACACACTCACGGGCTTCCCCTATCTTCCCTTCGTACTATTTTGATCATTTGCTACGCTAATAATCAATCAGATCGATCCAGAGAAGAGGAAACTTTAAAGGCCTTTTTCTCAAAATGATGACTCTGTAACAGTCATTATATAATGTGACATATTTTGCTTAATATTTGGAGTACAACAACAATCCTGATATCATTAGAAAGCTGTGAATCTCCTCTTTCCAACAGTGTATACAACTCAAAATGTGTCTTCGGGTCAATGCGACTGATTTCGATGGAGCAGGTCACTTTGCATTAGGTAAAATAAAGCAGGCAGACATAACAGGAAGAATATGTACATTTTAACCCAATCAAATAGGACATTGTCACACCATTCAAATGTATCCATGTAAATTACAACCAATAAAAAAGCTTAGATTTGTTTATTTGTTACGTTGTTTAGTTTATTTGTTACGTTGTTCTGTGTGTGTCAGCCGTTAACCTAGATAGAAAAAATATATACACTTGCAAACACGTCAGAAGAACCAGCGCAGAAGAAAACTAAATACAGTCAATCTAAACTTAAATTAACAACTGGAAGGTCACATCCCTGACATCCACGTCTCCGGAGCCTGGACCTTCATCAATCATAGAACCAGCGAAGCCAGATAAACCCAAAAGCAGCCGCTCTGCGGCCGCAGAGACTGTCAAAACCGCCGCCACCGCCGTCGTTGAACCGAAACAGGCTGGTTCCGACTGCATGGAGGTTTGTTGAGACATTGAGACGGGTAAAGCTGCAGCTAACTGACCGCTAGATTATTTGGGCAAAGAGAAAGGTACTTCAACGCAGAATGGTACAAAAACAGAGAGTGGTTAATTCTTTGCAAAACCACTAAACGGGCCTTCTGTGAAATATGCAGATTTGCTGCTGTCAAACGGCTTGTAACTTTCTCAAAATGTGGAGATGATAGCTTTGTTAATATCGGAGTTAATAACTGGAAAAAGTGCCCAAGCCTCCTGGACAGCCACGAAAAGTCTCATTTCCACAGAGAGTGTATTAAAAAAAAGTGCGCTTTCTTCAGTCAAACACCAGTCAACATACAGCTTGTCAAACAACAGCGTATTGAGCAGGAAAAAAGAAGAGATGGAATGATGGAGCAACTGCGCTGTCTGCAGTTTCTAACCCGACAGGGCCTAGCAATCAGGGGGCATGCGGATAAGGAGAGCAATTTCCAAAAGAACTCGTAGCTGAGAAAAACCCCACTCTGAAAAGCTTCATGCTCACCGGGAAATATGCATCATGAGACAATTAATGAACTTATAAATCTAATGTATCGGGAGTCTCTCACCACTATATTAACTGAAATTTATAAACTGCGATGTGAACAACCTCATATTTTTTTAACTGAGGATCTACCTGTGTTTAGTCTAGAAAAAGGTAAATGTGTGCATTTTATTATAAAGTTGTGTATATTTACAGACTGTTGCAAAAACTATGAAACTTATAAACATCAGGTTTAAAACTAAATGAGCTTTACAAAAAAGTAACACAATTAGAGATGTTTGGAGTTTTATTTTAGTTATTAATTTACATTTTTTGTCAAAGAGATGCTGATTTGATACCGTTGATACAGTTACGGCATTTCCTGTTTCTGCCGGAGAGAGGGGAGTTTGTCCCAAAGCTTGCCGCTGTATCTACTCCCTCCATCTGACAGGAGGGAGCCTCATGTGTCACTCCACGGAGTTCACTCCGTCACGGAGGGGGAGTGTGTAGGGGTAGGGTGTAGGGCGTGGTTTGGGATTGGGCCATACACACGCACTTTTTTGGCCCCCCCACTTCTAAAATGAATCCGGCGCGCCTGTGTATCGCCATGAGGCATACTGTTTGGTGGCTAGCTACAACCTAGCATCAAAACTTCAGCTGTTCGTTTTCCGGCTCAGTGTATCGCCACGAGGCATGCTCCCCATCGCGTTTCGTGTGTTTAAAAAAAGCAATAGGATGAAGTTAGTTAGTTAGTAAGTTAATCCTACCAAGACACTGCATTTTACTGGAAACGTTACATTAACCTTTAGATCTGCTGTCAGCTAGCACAGTTTAGCTTAGCATCAACCACATGGTAATGACTTCTGCTTTACAACTGAATTAAATGCAATGTGATATTAAAAGGCGGACTATTTATGCCCATCATGTGTGTTGATTACTAGTTATACTACTGGCCTGTTACTTTTTGAATAAATAATCGTCTTAAAAATGCTGGTAAGACAGATGTGTGCTGTGTTACTGTGTAGCCCTCACACCCGTGCAGAGGGCAGCCGTCATGCGGTTTCAACGGAGCGGCTCCTCAGTGCATGATCTGTGCATGCATGGAGGAGGGGACTACCGTGTTTTGCAAATGAAACGTGCAGAGTTTTATGCACCTGAAGGTTTCATGCAGACGTAGCTGTTGACTGTAGGTGCACTGCCGTCAGAGCACAACAGGAGTGGAGTGCACCAGCTGGGCGTAAAAAATGAGGTCTTAACTCTAAGTTCTGGCTTAGCTACGTCCAACTTATGGCGCATTTCCACTACAGCGCGGAGCTCGCTTTAAGCGGGCCGTGCCCGGCCCGTTTTTGGTTGCATTTCCACTTGGCGTAGTTCTGGCTAGTGGGTACTATTTCACAGTTTTTCTGGCCCCATAAAATCGAGGTTCTTTCCGGGCCAACAACCAGGCTGAGTCGGGCTGATGTAGAGAGATAATCGCTGGCAAGGGGGCTACAACTACAACAAAATGAACATATTTGACCGTGATTTAATTGTAATACACGTTTCAAAATTATGCCGAATTAACAACATACTGATACCGGTTAGTAAAAACCATGAATGAATGCTTTGACAAGTCTGCAGACAGACGGCAGGCAAAACAACTTTTAAAATGTGTGTTTTCTAAATGGAGATGCTTTTTACCCCAAGAGATGTTATTGTTAACCATGCTTTGGTATATTAAACTTAGCCTGTTCTCTGTTTTATTTTTTAGCAATAGCAAGGATGACACAAAGGAGCAGGAGAAAGACTCCTGAACAGGATGCAATAGACCATATAATTCTGGGCAGAGACAAACCATTCCTAGAGGCCAGGTTCATCAACACGTTTAAAGGCAAGCTATTTATCTCATACAGTATGTAGTATCAAAGACCGTATAGCATTGTTTCATCAATATGGTCGAACTGGGCACACAGGGAACCCTGACCTTTTAGCCATTGCTCTTAGGCCATCAGCCTCACGTATTTTCAACAATGTATGTTTTCAGGAAATGTCTTTAAAATGTGTGCTCCTCTCATTGAAAAACAACACTGTATACCAAATCAATTGTGTCCTAAACTGCCAGACACCCGCTGTGTTTAGAGATGCTTTGACTACACTTTTGGGGAGGTTTCACAGAGCCTCTCCTCAGTGCAAGGGTTTTTTGGCAGGGTTAGCAAACTACCCGGCCCTTATTATTATATCATGAAGCCTTTTTAACCATGCATATGATCATTTATTGAAATCAAATGTGTACAACAGAACTTATGATAGCACAACATTGTCTATCCTCTCAATGTGGCCTCTTAATTATGACAGTGCACAATAATGGTACTTTTAACTTTAAAATATAACATTTGTGTTGACATTTTACATTTTATTTTGTATGTTTATACATATGGCAACAAAAAGTACTATTGCTTTACAAGTATTTTCTAATATATTGCAACATCTAATCTGAACATTAGATGGAACATGCTGATTAAAACAGTGCTCTGATTATTTACAATGAAATTCAATATAAAATAATGTGTCACTTCATACCAGTAAATAATCGTGAACTCAACCCTGGATATAGTCAAATCACAGCTACCCTCAACCCTAGCAGTGTTGGCATCACTATGTTAAGCGTTTCAAAGTACTGTTAACCAACACCTTTTGCATATCACTGTGGAGCTTTATTGGAGAAAGGAGTGCGTGCTGATCAAACAATTTTACTCCGTATTTACCTGCAAGGCACTTTACATGTCAGAGGCTAACTTGGATGAAGCTTATGTGTGGATAGCAGTGTTAGGCATCTAATGGCGCAGTTCCACTACAGCGCGGAGCTCGCTTTAAGCGTGCCGTGTCGTGCCGTTCCCGTTTTTGGTTGTGCTTCCACTAGGCCTAGTTCCGGCCCGACCTGGCCCGGGGCCACTTTTTCACGTCTTTTCTGGCCCGAGAAAATTGTGGTTCTATCGGGGCCAACAAACAGGGCTGAGTCGGGCTGAGTATGCTAAACTAGAGAGAGGAGCGCTGGCAAGGAGGCTACAACTACAACAAGATGGACATATTTGACCGTGATTTAATTGTAATACACGTTTCAAAATGATGCCGAAGTAACAACATACTGATACCGGTTAGTAAAAACCATGAATTAATGCTTTGTCAAGTCTGCAGACAGACGGCAGGCGAAAAACCTTTTAAAATGCGTGTTTTCTAGATGGAGATTGGCTAAGCTAACTCAATATATGCTCCGACCGTCCACACTCACAACAACGGCCTATACAGACATAAATAAAGCAGCGACTGTATTCACCATGACACAGGCAGTCTGTGGTGTGTACTTGTTTAACTTTTGTTGAGTTTCTGAACATATATAAGGAGCTGTGAGCTCTGAGTGCTAACAGCTAACGGCTGTGTTGTGTTTCTGGAGTTCTCATTGAAGATGACGTCACGGCTCCGCCTACACTGCGTTACTATAGTAACTACCCCAGTTCCTAAACTGTAATGGAAGCGCAGCATGAAGTGAGTCGGCCCTGTTAAGGCCAAGCCGTACCGAGCCGTACCGAGCGTGGCCGAGGCCGACCGTGTAGTGGAAATGTGCCATTACACACTCATGGCAAATATTTACAAATAATTGGGTATAGGTAAATGTTTAATGTTAATGCATTTTTTTTGCTATTGTAGGACGTGGTGTTTTTACACGGGAATATATTGCACCGTCAACTTTTGTGGTGGAGTACCGTGGAATATTGGGTGTAAGTGAAGATCTAGATGTCAAAAATAACATCTTCTTATTCGATTTCATCTGGTCTGGAATGCACTTTTGGTGAGTTTGCTGCTTATTGATTACCTCAAATGGATAATTGACCATTACCAGATTTATGTGTTTCCTAGTGACTTCTTGTATGAATTCAGTGCTTTTCTGTCATGATACATGATGTTGTATCAGGACTATTTGTCTTGCAGTATTAATGCTTCAAAAGAGGATGGAACACTTGGACGTCTTGCAAATGATAATCACAGGAATCCAAACTGCAGAGTGAAAAAAATCGTTGTCAAGGGAACCCCACACTTGTGCCTATTTGCTGTAAAGGAAATATTCCCAGAGGAGGAGATAACTTACAACTATGGGGATTCTGCTTGGCCCTGGCGCTTAAAGGTGAGGTTATGTTCTCTTTAGGACATTGCTTAACTGACAGGGAAAAAGTGTTGCATTGTTCTTCATGGTACTACCACTCAGCTCAGTTAAGCAGATTTAATTTATTTCAGCAAAAAATGTGTAGGCCTACTGTAGGGACAGCAGTCCTTGTAAGGACAGAGGATTTTAAAACCTGTTGAAATGACTAGACATTAGATCATTGCCTTCATCCAGCATGTGCACACCTCCATAACTGTTAAACCTTTGCAGCACACACGTCAGATCAAACCACTACCACGGTGACAACAGTGTCTTTTGTTTGTGCTACAATTTCAGGCTCCCCGGGAAGTAGCTTCTAACCCTGAGCCCGAGAGAGATCCTCCGTTGTCCCCACAAACCAAAATGGCAAGTTGTACTTCATATCACAATCACTTTCTGTGTTGGGCTGTAGAGGGAAACAATACATGTACACTGGGCCTGTGACAGTATTGTACTTTTCTTAATGCTGTGAAAGATTAGTCACATTCCAGAAACTGAAATATATGTGTCTCTATATTATTTAAGCCATAGTTTGTCGACTGTTATTTACTGCACCATGAAAAGATAAATGCTCAGAGTAAGAGTTAGTAGAAGTCGTATTTGGAACAGAGGAGCAGCGCTACCATGGCATTCATGAAACAAAATGAGGATGCCAACTTGTAATATGGTTAAAATTACAGTCCTACTGTGCTAATCAGCTTTCTTCCTGGGATGAGATATGCTGATGGCTGCTGCACACATAGCATGCTAACAGTCAATGTGTTAGTAGATTTTTTTTATCAATTATTGCTCTGTGATAAATTGCTTTTAGGCCCCAACATGTTATTTAGGGGCTAATAATGTCTTTTTATTTTCATTGCTGGCTAATGAATTGGATAAAGTCGTGTTAATGTTCAGATTTGTGTCCCATTGATAGATGAATGGAAATGAGTCGATAATGTTTTAAAGTCGTGCCTATCTTTCACTTATTTACAGGAAGTATGTGGTGGGACACGAGAGGCTGGGACCGAACTTCATACAACTACAAACGCATCAGGGGACAAGATGGTAAGTTTCTATGTATTGTTTTTCCATACATTGTTGCGTGTCGCTGACTGGAATAGATTGAAGATGTTTTACCAGGACTATTGTCTTGGTAAGGGGGCTCCGTTCCCCCATACTTTGGGTCACATTGAAATGGGTTAAATGTTATACTACACACGAAGATGAAGGCCGTCTGGTCACAGGGTGTCTTGTAGGGACAGCAGTCCTTGTAAGGACAGAGGATTTTACAACCTGTTGACATGACTAGACATTAGATCATTGCCTTCATCCAGCATGTGCACACCTCCATAACTGTTAAACCTTTGCAGCACACAAGTCAGATCAAACCACTACCACGGTGACAACAGTGTCTTTTGTTTGTGCTACAATTTCAGGCTCCCCGGGAAGTAGCTTCTAACCCTGAGCCCGAGAGAGATCCTCCGTTGTCCCCACGAACCAAAATGGCAAGTTGTACTTCATAATACTCTATCACCATTGTTTTTTCACACACTGGTAAAGGGACGAATCTTTGTCACATATATGGCAAACAAGTTGGATATCTGTCAGCTTGTTAGCGTTGATGACGCCTTGACCTAAGATACACAATTTAGGCAGGACATACTTTCAATACTACTTCAACTGCTCTTAGTCAGATGCTAATAAGAGTTTTTCAAAATGAAGAGTACAATTGTTTTTTTTTTATAAAATAAGGTGTCCAAGCAGACAACCTTATTGTTTTTCATTGTCATAAGGATTATGTCCTAAAAGTATCTGGGTCACATTTCACACTCAAACACACTTAAAATAATATATATATTTATTTTGTTTATGTTCAATTTTTGATCCACAGTGTCATCATGAACTCACCAGTGCAGTTATTTCCTCTTTGGATAATTGTCATGATTGCAGAGGACCTGTCTCAAGCCTCAAATGGATTGGTTTTACGTGTAAATGTAAGTACCTGTCAAACAACACCGTTTTATTTTTTACTCTGAGATGATAAACATTTCGATAAAACAAACTTAATTTCAAATACTTAACTTAGATTCTAAATGACTTACTTTCTTCTTTGTTATATAGTGAAATGCACAGTGATTAAATGTTAAAATAATGCTCAAGAAATGTTACCAGTACATTTTTCTTGTGTAATTGTGTTTTTAGTATGTTCAACCTCATGGCACAAAACCTGCTTCATCAAGAACAACGAGTCACCGGTACGTAATGTGTTTATATAAATATCTGATTTCTTTGGATAATGAAAAAAATACAAACTTGGTGTTCCTTTATTTTATTTATTTTAAAGATGAAGGACATCTGCCTTTCCAGTAATGAAGGTTCCGTCAGTGATAAAGACTACATTCCTGAAACGGCGTCTAGCAGCGATGGATCCAGCGCCGATGAAGACTGCCCACCTGACTCTGAAGCAAATACTGATTGGGATCATCTCATTGCCACCATCAGGGATTCAAAGCCACCCCATTGTAAGACTGCACCAACCACAGCATTTCAGAAAACGTGTGTGTGTGTGTGTGTGTGTGTGTGTGTGTGTGTGTGTGTGTGTGTGTGTGTGTGTGTGTGTGTGTGTGTGTGTGTGTGTGTGTGTGTGTGTGTGTGTGTGTGTGTGTGTGTGTGTGTGTGTGTGTGTGTGTGTGTGTGGCGGTATGGCAGTGTATGCGTTTAATCACGGCAGCATTTAGCTGAGCCAGAGACATCACTTTAGCACTGCTGGAGGAGCCTGTAACATTTCCATTGACATATCTACACTGTAGCTCTGTACACATGACAATGAAAGCCTTGAATCTTGAATCCCCTCTCCTCCAGAAGACCACCTGCCCCCCTCAATGCTGGCGGGCAGAATTAATAAACAAATTATAATCCTGATCTAATACGAATCATATCGCAATTGCAATATCAGTCAAAATAATCACAATTAAATATATCTCCAAATTGGGATTAATAAAGTACTTCTTATCTTATCTCATATTGTTCTTCTCTCCTCTCTCTCCTCAGAGGACCACCTGCCCCCCTCCATGCTGGCGGGCTGCCCCTCCATGGCTCTGGCCCTCGGGCACCACCAGGTCTCCGGCCTGGCGAGAGCCGCCACTCTGGAGCAGCTGCGGGAGAAGCTGGAGCCGGGCGGGGGGGAGGGTCCGGAGAGGAAGATGGCCCGGCGCATGGCGGAGGAGCAGCAGCGCCTCATGCAGCAGGCCTTCCAACACAACCTGCTGGCCATGGCCTCTCAGATGCCCCTCAACCTGCGCCTGGGAAACCCCAACATCACAGCCAGAGGTCAGTGAGGATTGGAGTGTCAAAATGTGTTTTAATGTTAAAATGCAGCGTATCACTGCGCCGAGTGATTTCTCCAGGCTACTGCTATTTTCTGCCGTTCATGCAGGTAGGGTGACACGTACGAGGAATTTGACCTGATTCTGATTCTGATTCTAATTGAGCACCATAATCATAATGTCATCACCAGGCAAAGTGTAAGCAAGTCTGATCGGGGGCAAAGGCCCAGTCTCTATTTTTTTTTACAAGTTTCTCATTATCTGAGATCCTTATGTTCTAGTTATCAATTCACTTTTTTTATTTTGTGTCCGTTGTAGAAATCCCATTTAACAACGTTTTTTTAAGCATGAACGGCAGAAAATAGCAGTTTTTAGCCTGGAGATATCACTCCTTTCGGCGTAGTGATACCCTGCAAAGAAAGTAGTTCCTACATGAAATTACTCAAAAAAAGGTCTCATGATTTCTGGAAAATATACAGTTGTGTTTTGGCGCTTTGAGCACCATTATCAAAGTGTCATCTAACTCCATTATGTTGGAGAGAAAGCAGACATCAGTACAGCAAATATCTCCAACACTTCCACCAAAAAGCTATCTAGTGATAAATGACACTTGATTAAAACCTGGTTCACTCAGGTGTTGGTTTGACTAGTTGTAATTCTTAAAAGTGCGACAGAGGGCGGTATATCCACATAAATACGTTCAATCTAACCCGAACCATCTGCACCTAAACCATGTTGATTGATAAACAGCTCTTCAGGTAAACCCCGCCGTCACCACCAGAGGTCAGGGAGGACCAGGGTCAAAGGTTTTCATCGTGTCATCTAACATGAATTCAACATTAAACACAAGTTAATTATTTACACTGTTCCATTTATTTAGCATTGTTTACGCACTCATTGCCTGCGTGTCTCTGTTGCCACCTATACAGGTCATTTTTAAACAATTTGAGAATGACTTTGAATTTATTATTTATGTATTTCAAATGTGAAATGTTACCAATATACTCACGGACCACACTTTGAGAAACACTGCTCTAAAACATCCCTTTGTTTGTGCAGAAGAGAAGCAGCAGGACATGTCTCTGAGCATCTCGACCAATGGGAACGCCAGCATCACCGTCTCAGTGGAAGTCAATGGCACAATCTACTCAGGTTGGTATTAGAGGAGTATGTAATGCTGTTGAATACTGCGGAAACAATAGTATTTGCTATATAGAAGCAGATATTTAAGTGTGCTATGATCACCAGATGTGTTGTTTTCAGTTTACTGCTGAAATATAACTAAACACCAGTTAAAGTGGAATCACCAAAAGCCACTGTTTTTACTCTCTTTGAACTAAATAATTTTCTTTTTTAACTTTTCTTTAACCAGGTATGTCCCGTTGAGATTAGAACATCTTATTTACAACAGAGCAATTACCAGACAACTGTAAAACATACAGTATTTTAGGTAACATATATGTAAACATTAACACAGTATAACTACACATGGTACACCATAACAAGCCATGGCAGAGCTGAGGAAGACCTGAGTCTCCAGACCCTTTACTTACATTTTAAAAGCTTTAATTGGGATCAGCAATCTGACCGCAAGAAGTGTACCGTTCTTTCACAATGTGGGTATTTAGCAAGTTGACAGCGCAATGACCATCAAACATAATATATTGTGCAGCTATCGTTTTTAATGAGGCTCCATGGTTATGTCATGATGTTTCCCTTCATGTTTGTGAATGAACATGTCATCTAAATGCTTCTCACGTGTTCTGTGAAACACTTTCCTTGTGTTAAAAGTGTTTCCCCCTGTTTGTTATACATCTGAGACGTATAATATATGACACTACATACTGATATACACCTGAACATCAGCAGGAGAGGACTCTTTAAAGTAGAGACACTACATACTGATATACACCTGAACATCAGCAGGAGAGGACTCTTTAAAGTAGAGACACTACATACTGATATACACCTGAGCATCAGCAGGAGAGGACTCTTTAAAGTAGAGACACTACATACTGATGTCATCCTGAAAATGAATGTAATAGGGCCCCTTTAACGTGTTGCAACAAACGTGCAAGCGTGTGATCACACTCAAGTTTGAAAATATGTTTGCAACCCTTAACTTTTTCACATCCCCTCACAACAGGTTTCTGTGTCACAAGTCCAGCAAGTTCCCCACACCTCGAGGAACTAAATACTTTTATTTCACCCTTTTTTTAAATGAGTCATTCTGGTTGTGGGAAGTTTTTATATCTATAAATGATGTACAAATAATACTCACGGGATTATGACATGACAACTTCCCCACGATCACATGACAAACCAATGTGATCACCAGGAAATATCACAATGCAAATGAATGTTTGTTTTCCCAGTCATGGATCATTTGACAGTGTACATGTGGGAGGAAGCCAAGCGTGGTATAATTTCCCATCTGTTTCCTTTTTATTTAAGGAACTGATGTCGCTTACAGTCAAGCATTTGCATTGACAAGAAAAAGGAACAATGCACATGTATACGGAACAGGTTTTTATTTATAATTTCTTTACAAAAGTAGATTAGATGCAAAGCTTGAGTATTTGTACAGGTCAACATGTACGCCATCTTTTGCAGCCGCTACAGTTAAATATAAACCATTTTAAACACAGAAACATATGGAAAATATGTATTGCTTCATTATTCGGCTGAAATCTGACCATAAAACAAAATGCTGGTTGTGGTTTTTTTCGTTCTTATAACTAAAACGACCCTGTGGATTTCAATCAACTGAAGCTTCAGACTCTTATATTAAACACACATATTTGTAATAAGAAAATAAAGTGCTAACCGCCTCTCGACAAACACAAAATGTCAAAAACAGTGAAGGAAGTGTGAGGTAGATTGCAAGACAGGATATTACTGCATGGACAGAATTTCACATTAAACAGGAAACGGATCTTTAATTAGTGGTAAATTATTTCTGAATAACTGCTCAAGCAATACATCGTCAGACTATCAAAGGTACCCTGACTCTGGTTCAACATGTTTAAAGCAACCTGACACAGGCATATAGCAAACTGTTTTACGGAAAAATAATATGAAATGCTTGGGTTTTATTTATTTCTGACACAGTTTAGATTTTTAACCAGTTGCCTAATCTTCCACTTAAATGTATTTCTTAATTCAAAGATTTCAGTCTTGCTCAATTTGTATTTCACAGCTTTGAAGTGTAATAGATACATTTCATTGTATTCATTTCTGTGATTTTAAATAGTGAAATGTTCGATGTTCTGGTGACTAAAGCAAGCAAAAGCATTAACTTTATAATTATTGTTTACACCATCTTTGGTTATGTTATTGTAATAATCCTCACGAGGTAACGTCACCGAGATGTGTGCCGTTTTGCAAATTGCTTTTAGGACGGAATCAAGAAGTTGAGTTTAAATTAAGCAATATAATAATAATATAATATACACAAAAAGTGCTAGTTTTCAGCTGCACACACACACTCAGGATTCAGATAAATAAATACATCTCAGCTCTAAGGCACATTTTCTACACATGTTTCTCCACAAAATAGTAATTGAAAGGCTAACTACCAACAGGCTAGATTTGGGCTTTTATCATTTGTACAATCAATACAGAAGATTGTTTGTTAGACATCAGTTTTCATAAACTACGTCTACTGCACTAAGGCACTAATTGTTAATGAAATTACATAAAACAAATGTTTTTAGGACTTAATTAAGGAATACAATGAAGAGTTTTCATATTAATGATCATTTGTACCTGAAGTAAATGGATTGCATTTTCTTTTAATAACTTTTCTAGTCTTTGGCAACTACACTTCAGCATTCACACACACATTCATGCTGAGGCTAACCGCTCTACAGGACACACACACACACACCCCCCCACACACACACACACACACACACACACACACACACACACACACACACACACACACACACACACACACACACACACACACACACACACACACACACACACACACACACACACACACACACACACACACACACACACACACACACACACACACACACACACACACACACACACACACACACACACCACCACACACACACACACACACACACACACACAGCTAACGGGAGCAATTTGGGGTTACGTATCTTCCGCAACTTCAAGTGTCATTTATTGCCTTTGCATTCGTACCACTCAGGATCAGTCGTGTACTCAAGTACACATTTGAGGTTCTTCTACAATACTTTCACTTTATGCTCCTACTTTTTACTCCACTGCATTTTTTGTTATAACTCTGTAGTATTGCTACTGAAGTATACTATCTGAGGTCTAACAGGACAGACTCTGGATCAGAGCGGCGGTCAGACAACAAATGAGTAATTCTAATCCAATACAAATATATATGATTCTGCAATTAACCATTTTGCATAAAGGTTTTGAATGCAGGACTTTAACTCAGATATTCGACCGGAGTAGCAATACTACAGAGGGTTTAGAGATCTCCATTAGCAGTAGATAATGTGAAATAAACCCCACTTTTACCAAGAGAAACATTGAAATGTAACAAATTAGTCATTATAATCCAATAAAATGTACTTTTTGGTATTTTTCTAAGCTAATACCAGTTTTCTAAGGTTTTGAATGCAGGACTGTATTGCTACTATCTGAGGACTAACAGGACAGACTCTGGATCAGCGCGGCGGTCACACAGAGCCCCAGCAGCAGAGATGTTGATGTTTTGACCCCCGCTCTGCTCTCCAGCTGCAGTGTGTAGTCAGCCAGCACTCGGGTGTACCCCCTCTCCTCCGACACACACCTGTGCCTGCCCTCCTGCTCCGGACTCATCCTGGGGATCAGCAGGAGGCCCGGAGAATCCTCCAGGCTCCGGGAGGTGTTTCTCTCCAGGTGGATCCAGGTGTATGTGGCCTGATGAGATGAAACCGGGCACTGAAGGAAGTATTTGGAGTTCAGAGGGAGTTTGATGCTCTTCGTCACCTCGTCTCTTCCAGGTGGATATTTACTCACTGAGAAGAGAACACGTATAATCATTTAAAACATATCATCTTATACTCCGATTGCCTTTTACACCGTTACATTGTATTTTTAGTCTTGTATGTGTTTAACAGAGACATATGTTAAGGGTTTACATTTCTGGAGGGCAAAGGAAGTGTAAAGGGTTTTTTAAATGGTTAAGGACGAGGGGGTTGAATGGTTGAATGGTGGGGATGATGAGGGTGGGACCAGTTGGATAGTCTCTTCTATATAGTGTGACTGTGAGCTGTGTTCTGGGAGCAGAACTTCTTTATCCTCTGAGGGTGAAGGTGCTCTGTTCCTACAGTTGAGATCGATTTCACTTGACTTTCTTTATTACTTTATTAAATACAACAAAAGACAAACTTTGTTCATGTATCATTTATCAGTTTGAATTTCCTCCACAATTGGGAGTTTAGCTTCAAGGCAGGATGTTTGTTTTGAGCAATATATGTAATAATATATATTACAATATATACAGTGGTGTAGTAGTATTAGGTGTACAAATACTGTTGACCTTTCTTAGTAATAAGGAAGTGTTTTTGTTTGTTGATGGCAGAAACTAAAACAGGATTAGGAGAATAGAGAACTGAATCAGAGGGTCATTTAAATTCCTACCTGCTTTCTTTGTAGTTTGATTTTGTTTCATATTTATTATCAAGTTTATGTACCCAAGCTATTCCTCGTTGTCAGTGTTTTGGTTTGTTTTGTAGAAAAGGAAAAGTTTATAAAATATTGAGTAAAGAGGTAAAAATGAAACTTACATTTTGTTCTACCTTTTAACTTGTACTGTAAGTGCCTTCATCATTTCAACTGTTAATTGTGGAACAAAATGACCTCTACACTGGGAGAATAATCAGCAGGACTACATTGTTCAGTATTTTAGAGAATAAGGGGTTAAAGCTCTTTAAACTGCTGCAAAACATGGTACCATGGATCAAATGTGAATATAGCAGTGACATGGAGAGGGCAAAACATTGCATGTTCAGCAAGATAACAAACACTATCGGAAAGCAGCAGATATTTGTTTTGCAAATTTCCCATATCATTAAAAGCATGCGTTGAGATAAGATGTGATAGTATCCGCCACACACACATAGCAACATTTAGTATGCCTGAAAGACGTGATGCAGTGGCAGAAGAGAAAAACTGTATATCTACTTTCATTTCTCGGATATAGAGACAAGGAATGGGAGAGAAATAAGGCTAAAGTATGTATAAGAGTAGTATGAGTATCTTTAGAAGAAACACTTTAGGTAGGCGAGCTTAAATGAGTTGTGTTTGAAGATCATACTATTCATTTGGTGATACACATGTGTTGAGAGCAGTGTTCGAATTACCCATTTGCTTTCGGGGGAGCCCTATTTTTTTTCTTAAGGTGCATTCCCATGGATCTTTCTGCGAGCGGCACGGAGATCATACTTGTTGCCTCTTTGCAAATCTCACATCCACATTTTTTATTTATTATGAAAAGCCATTGATACCTTTCATTCCACTCCATCTTTTCTGTGTCCAGTTAAAAGCTGTAACCATAGCAAGTAAAGAATGCAGCGCCGCCACGTACAGATGCGGCAACACCCAGAAATATTCACAAATATAAAACAAATATTCAGAAACTGTAATGAACAATGATTATTATTTATTTCAAGAACTTCTATTTACAGAAACTCAACATTTGTAATCTGTGTGACACAAATATGCACGATTTTTTTGGGCTCCCCCTATTTATCTCAAAGTCGGACTTCAGGGGAGCTCCCCCCCTCTTTAGGGGAGCCAAGCTCCCCCTGGCTCCCCCCCAATTCGAACACTGGTTGAGAGAACGTGATTGATTTTCTCTCAGTGTCTAACATTAAAATATTATTTATGCAGGCACACACACCTCTCCGAAACATTTGACTGCCTTCCTGCACCCACTAAGCTTATCAGGCAGGGACATATGTAAAGCTCTGTATACTTTGAGTTATTATTTCCAACAGGTTTTGCAAGGCAGTTATTACATGCGCAAAGTATTTGCATATTACTGTATGATCCTTTCTACAGAAAGATCTATGTTATCCTAATACAGGCCTATTGTGTTCCTGTGCGTGATGACAGAGTCAAGGCAGAGCTGCTAATGTGTGTCATATTCACATCTGAGTGCACAGACATATCTCGGAAACTCCTTACAAATATAGAACTTGCAGGAAGGAAGGGGCAAAAGTAAAGAAAATAGTATTTGGTTAGTCGGCCTACACTACAGCCTTAATGCCAGGATATCAACTGAAAAAAAGAGTCAAAAGTTTCCTCCTTTTTTGTGTTGTGTAGAAATACATGCAGACTGATCTACTGATGTAAAGTTGCAGAAAACCACTTTTTGCAGAGTGGTAGATAACAGATCAAATCCGCTCTCATTCCTGTGTGTTACATATAAATCCAGTAGCCGCTTAGTTTAGCTTAGTTTGGCGACTAGCAGTTTCCATCCTTTTCCAGTCTTTGTGCTAAGCTAAACCTACCAGTTAGCAGTTTATATCTGTGTCCAGTCTTTGTGCTAAGCTAACCAGCTAGCTTCATATTACCAAGGTAGGCAGTATATCTCCGTTTCCAGTCTGTGTACTAAGCTAAGCTAACCAGCTAGCTTCATATTACCACGGTAGGCAGTATATCTCCGTTTCCAGTCTGTGTACTAAGCTAAGCTAACCAGCTAGCTTCATATTACCAAGGTAGGCAGTATATCTCCGTTTCCAGTCTGTGTACTAAGCTAAGCTAACCAGCTAGCTTCATATTACCAGGGCATGCAGTTTATCTCTGTTCCTAGTCTTTGTGCTAAGCTGAGATAACCAGCTAGCTTCATATTATCCATTGTTAGCGGTTTCCCTCCATTTCTAGTCTTTGTGCTAAGCTTAGCTAACCGTCTTCTGTTGTTAGCTACCTATTACACATATATAGACTGAGCAAATGTTTCCCAAAATGTTAATCAAATAATAAAATCTCCAATGTAATATATGTGTGGACTTTCACAACTGGCAACACTAAACTGAAATGTAGTTTTGATAAAGCTATAAATAACTTCCTAAATGAAATTATAAGACTTCCCGATATTCATAACTAACCTGTTTCACTTTATTACACGTCAAGCTGACATTGCAGTCACATGTTAGCACACGTGTTTTTATCTGTGTCCTCATTTCCCACCACAGCAACTTCTTGTTTTCAGTACAACATTTACATTTATCTCCTGACACACCTATTGATTTAAAACCAGATTGCAGTACAAATATTTCCGTACCTGTTTGAGACTGCTCAACCATCCCTGAAGACACACAGATGTTATGATCTGCTTGGCTCACGTCCTGAAGCATGTCTCTGTGAGGGAAAAAGGATGGCTTATTAAAAATAAATGTGAATGCAGAGTATTTGACTAGAAACAACCTGGTTACAATGGATTTGAGCTATTAACACAATTTGAACAACCCTAACATCATACAAGACTTTACTGGCAACAATACACCTTAAAAAATATAAAAGCACCAATCAGAATAGGTTATGCAAGTTATAGAAAATATAGAAGAGCTCTGAACCCGTTTCTCTTTCGATCCAGTACAATCAATCAACAACTTTATTAATCCCGCAAGGGGCAATTGGTTATGAGCAGCAGCTTATGTCATGTACACAGGCAGGAAAATACAGGAAGAAAACACACAGATACACCCGGGAGCACAGATGTGGATCATTCCAATTTAAACTATAAATAGTTCATAGCATCACAATAATAAATAAATAAATAATCAAGTTAAAAGCCTTTCAAGAATTTAAAAGTTTGAGTGCAGAAGGGTTGAAAGATTTTGAAAAGCGATTAGTCTTTAGAGCAGGTAGAGCATATCTTCGCCCTGATGGCAACAGACGAAATTCATGTGAAAGAATATGACCAGGAGAGGCCAGAATGCTCTCTGCTTTCCACAGAATCTGTTGGTTACAAAAGGAATTTAAGTCTCTCTGTTTCACGCCGATGATCTTAGAGCAGGTTTTAACAATGCTGTTCAGGCTGTTCCTGTCAGATTACTGTATGCTTTTATTACCTGGAGAATTGATTACTGTATTGTTCTACTTTCTGGTCTAACCTAAAAGAATATTGCTTCATTTCAACTCCTCATCAGTTTATAAGAAATCAGGTAACAGTGGTCTTCTCTTGCATCAACTTCTGCGAAGTAGGTGGGGGGGCTTAAAGGGGTCTTTTTGCAGTCATTGCAGTGCAACACTATAGATGCAGTTAGACACTTCTACTCAGAGCGACTTCACACTACTCCTACTCGATCTTCCATTCTCCGTCAGACTTCCTACAAGTGGGCAAACTATCATTTCGGCACATGGAGAAAGTATGAATCAGATTCAGGCGACATGTTGATGAAGCTTGTTGTTGAACTGCTCAAAGCCATCAACCACATCACAGGAAGCAGTGTGGAAATATGAGTATGTGAGGGTTTGAGAACTGTGTTAGCTAACCGCAGTGTTAGGCTGTGTGTGTGTGTGTGTGTGTGTGTGTGTGTGTGTGTGTGTGTGTGTGTGTGTGGTGTGGGTGTGGGTGTGGGTGTGTGTGGGTGTGTGTGTGTGGGGTGTAGTATCAAAGTTTAAACACCCACGCACAAGTATTACTGAGAAATCTAATTTTATACTTTTGCATTAACAAGAACTCCTGTTGGCAAAAAAAGTCAGGTTTACAGATAAGGTTCATTTGAAGTCTGTTATCATGTTGCTGCATATGTTAAAGTAAGAATGTAAAAATATCACTTTTTAAAAAAAAAGGGTTATAATAGGGTTAGTGTAGAGGTTAACGGTTACTAATTCAATACTAGAAATGCCAACAAAATACAAATGTGCTTCCTCCCAAACTTTAAGTCAGCCCGGTGTATTGGTTGTTAAAAAATGTATTTAAAGAGGACACATTATGTTCATTTCCAGGTTCATATCAGTATGTAGTGTCTCTACTTTAAAGAGTCCTCTCCTGATGATGTTCAGGTGTATATCAGTATGTAGTGTCTCTACTTTAAAGAGTCCTCTCCTGCTGATGTTCAGGTGTATATCAGTATGTAGTGTCTCTACTTTAAAGAGTCCTCTCCTGCTGATGTTCAGGTGTATATCAGTATGTAGTGTCTCTACTTTAAAGAGTCCTCTCCTGCTGATGTTCAGGTGTATATCAGTAAGTAGTGTCTCTACTTTAAAGAGTCCTCTCCTGCTGATGTTCAGGTGTATATCAGTATGTAGTGTCTCTACTTTAAAGAGTCCTCTCCTGCTGATGTTCAGGTGTATATCAGTATGTAGTGTCTCTACTTTAAAGAGTCCTCTCCTGCTGATGTTCAGGTGTATATCAGTATGTAGTGTCTCTACTTTAAAGAGTCCTCTCCTGCTGATGTTCAGGTGTATATCAGTATGTAGTGTCTCTACTTTAAAGAGTCCTCTCCTGCTGATGTTCAGGTGTATATCAGTATGTAGTGTCTCTACTTTAAAGAGTCCTCTCCTGCTGATGTTCAGGTGTATATCAGTATGTAGTGTCTCTACTTTAAAGAGTCCTCTCCTGCTGATGTTCAGGTGTATATCAGTATGTAGTGTCTCTACTTTAAAGAGTCCTCTCCTGCTGATGTTCAGGTGTATATCAGTATGTAGTGTCTCTACTTTAAAGAGTTCTCTCCTGCTGATGTTCAGGTGTATATCAGTATGTAGTGTCTCTACTTTAAAGAGTCCTCTCCTGCTGATGTTCAGGTGTATATCAGTATGTAGTGTCTCTACTTTAAAGAGTCCTCTCCTGCTGATGTTCAGGTGTATATCAGTATGTAGTGTCTCTACTCTTCTATGTCCCTTATACGTGTTATATTAAAAGTTGTCATCAGAACGACAACGTTTTCTTGTTTAGATACAACCTTTTTATCATTTCACGTGATCAGATGGTTGATAAACTACACGCGAAATGTGTACAACCTCAAGAGATTAGTTTACTTCTATTTCCTGATAGATATAAAGTTCTGCGAAAAAGATTCCATTACATATTTTATTTATTGATAACATTTTCTCCACATCATAATGAGGTACTTTTTTGAGAAAGAAAAATTCCAACGTTACGGGTTTTGAGTATCTGTGCAGAACAATAACACCATGTGACGCTGAGCTCTGCTTTCGTCTGATGATTAGCTGCAAAAACTCCTGACAGCCATGTGCGTAAGGCTTTACTAAAACAAAAACACACTGTATACACCTTCTAATTAACATTCGTTCTGGTAAAACATCCCGTGTTGAACCAGTTTGGTTGCAGCATTTACTCAGTAGTGTTAAGAGACCTCAGAAATGAAAATGATGACAGTAAGTAAGTAAGAAACTACATCAATTCAATGTCTTTTTATCATTTGAGTACAAATAATATAGCATCATATGAACTGTCATTTACTGATTGTGTGACAATGGCCTAAAAAGACTCTTTAATATCATCTTGCTTGGACCATTTACAATATTTTAAATGGTCCAAGCAAGATGATAGTAAAGAGTCTTTTTTGCGTTATGCGTGCTGTGACGTTAAATTACTCCGTTCTCCGCTTGTAATTATGCCGTCACAAGCTTCAAAGTTGTATTTATCTGAATTTGCCGAAACAAGTTGAATATTCTGAAAGCCAAGACTTTGTTTATTTGAAATCAGATGAAAACAAACTGTAACGGACCCTGCCGTGTTATCTATGATTACTATACGCCTTACATTCATAATTTCAGCCGGAGGGAGGGGGAGCTGCGCTACGGAAGAGCAGGGTGCGAGTGAGAGGTGCCTGTCATCGTCCCTTTACAAGCTTCAAAAATGTATTTATCGTGTGATTTTGGAAATAAAAGTTTCATATTCTGAAAGCCAAGACTTTGTTTGTTTAAAATCAAACAAAACACCCGAACCCCGAAAAACTATTTTTTTACACAAATCCACGTTTATTTTTGAAATGAGCCGTTGCGACTTCCGACTGATTTCGATAGAGCGGGTCACATATACACAATTCTCTTTTTACTAGAGTGGAAGGTCGAGTAATGACTAGTTTAACCATCATGAACAACATTACTCTGATCAGAGGTGCTCATTATGGGAAGTGATGACGCAAAGGTGGGTGCAGTTATTCATTTCAGGAAATAGATGTAAAAACTATGCCTAAAGCAAATGACACAACACCAAAGTTACTCCACAAAAGGTGTCTGTTATGCACTCTGGATGAACCTATTGTGTCATCACCGCTTCTGGTAAGGAGATCTTTTTAGTTTGTTTATCTGGAAGCAGGAATGTCAATTATAGCGGATACACACCTTACGTTTTACTATTGTTAACATTGGGTAATAGGGGTGAGTTCAAGTATGAAACATGCAACAAGAAGGTTAAGAAAGATGGCAACAGAGCTGCTTGTAATGTCTGTAAAGATCATTTCCAGAAAAGGGTGGAAACACCAGCAATATGTTGAAACTTCTTTTGATGCAACATGGGCCAACAGGCCAGAAAGGTAATGTATTTGACGCTCTGTTGCAAGGGAAATTACTCTATGTTATAATATCGTAAGTTCCCAAATCGAATCTGTGTACGCGTATTTATTTTCCACATAGAACAATTATCAGGAACCAATTAAGAATATGTTCAATAAGCAGAATCAATAATGCGTTTGGTATCACCAAATCTTAAAGGTCCCATGTCATGGCCATTTCCACTGATCATAATTCCATTGTTGAGGTATACTAAAATAGATTTATACTGTGCAATTTTCCAAACTCACATTGGTTTCGCATACAGCATCTCTGTCAAGTATGTGTATTCAGCAGTATTCACTCTCTCCACTAAACGGCTCGTTGGAGCTCTTGCCCCCCCCTCCCTGTGAGCCTAGTGTGCTCCGATTGGTCAGCTCGGCCACTAATCCCATCCATTAATTAAAATATTGCTTTAATAAGGTCTTTTGTTTGTAATATCATTATAACTATTATTTTATGATTTCTTTTTGGATTTGCCAACTGTTATGTAGTTAATCTATGTACCTAGATGTGTTTATTTTGTTATGTATGCTTTGTGAATATTTTCTTAAAATGCAAATAAATAAATAAAAGGGTAACAAGTCATGAGAGTAAACCTTGCAAATGAATGCAGGTGGCAAGACGCCATCGCACCGTTAGTAAGAAATCATGTTCACCTCAAGATGTGTCGTGTTTAGGGCTCTTAAGGTCACAACAGCGCTTTCAAAAGGTGAGATTGTGGGACGAAAAGCACCTAACCCTGACTCTCTAAAGAGATGGGTTACGGTCTAAGTGTGTTTTGAGATTTCTATCACCTGAATCTCCTCCTAGAGCACCATTGAGTTCTTTGTAACCAAATCTCTCTCAGAGGGGCGTGGGGAGGGGCTCCTTATTTTTATCTAAAGTAACAGACAGAGAATCAGCACTTTGGAAACAGGGCTGAAACAGAGGGGATTATGGGTAATGCTGCAATGATCTGTTTGGTATTTCAGCCAATCAGAGACAGGCTCTGTATATATATCTGAGACCTGTGATATATTGATGAAAAACAGTATGATAGGGGACCTTTAAACGTCCATAGGTGTATAACGATGGGGGTCTTACTGAGTGTGGGGGGTGCAGTGGGAGCCGTTCCAGCCGCAGTAGGGGTCTCTGGAGAGGACACAATCCCCACACCTGTCTCCGTACTGGGCACAGTTTCCCACATCCAGCTGCACCAGTTCAGTCCTGGAGGTCAAATACAGCTTCATCTATAAAACACACAGTACAGAGGGGGGGGGGGGGGGGGGGGGGGGTATTGTAACAAAGAAGAAGACAAAGTCATTAGAAAGTGTCCGGACTGAAAGAGGTATTAAGAAAAAATAACAGTGTAAAAATACTTTCACATTTAAAAAAAAAAAGCCCTGCATTCATAACGTACTTTAGTAAAAGTGCATGGGTATTATTAGCATGAAAATACCAGAAGGAAAAAGGTATTAATGGCAGAATTGGCAATATCTAATCTAATTAAAAAAATAATCTTATATTATTTCGATCTTATTGGGTATTACGATAAAGACTATGCGTATTTTTTTATTTCCTAACTTCTTTAACTTTTATATTATATTCACATTTTCAACCATTTATTCCTCTTTGTGTTGACCTCGGGGTTTAAAGAGTAATACAGGAAATACAAAAATAGTACCCAATAAGGTTATTTTTTGCAAATAGTCTCTGCTCGATCACATTTAACAATGACATGTGACTCATTCAAGTAATAATTGATGTAAAGAAACCCGTTATAATAAAGACTTGTATTGCATAGCCATTGCTTTTCAAGGACAACGTAAATATATATCAACTTTTTCATTATAAATTTCACCTGATTCGACCCCTATATTACTATCCGTTTTGTGACTCACTATAACCACATGCACTTCCACTTTGTTTCTTATCCAGTTACTCACAGTGGGGGGGTGGAGGAGGAAGGTGAGAATGTGGTGGTGTCTGTGGTGGAAAGGTTGATACTCAGCGATGACGAAGGTCTGAGTTTTCTTCTGCACCACCTTATGAATGTCTCCCTTATCTATTAAAAAGAACAGGAACGATGATTAAATATCCAAACATGTAAAACACACCCATAAAAGACAAACCACCCACTCCTGTTTCCCCACATCCGGATGACTCCATTGAAACCCATGCAGTGGTCTGAGGAAATGTGTACCAGAGGAGAGAGAACAGCTGCAGGATATTTGATGATTTACTCTGAAGGGTTATTGGCCAATAGAGCATGAGTAATAGAGGTGAAGCCACAGCCATCTCTTTCATCTACCGATTTGCTCTCAGGGGATTCATTTGAAACCAAACCCTGCAAATTAATCCTATGTGGCAAGACGCCATCGCACCATTAGTAAGAAATCATGTTACCCTAGAGATGTGTCATGTTTAGGCAAGGCAAGTTTATTTGTATAGCACCTTTCAAGACAAGGCAATTCAAAGTGCTTTACAAAAATGGAAGACATTATGAAAATGTAGGGGCTTTTAGGGTTTAGGGCTCTTAAGGTCAGAACAGCGCTTTCAAAAGGTGAAATTGTGGGACAAAAAGCACCTAACCCTGACTCTCAAAAGAGATGAGGTCACGATCATTGATATAGTAGTTTGGGGTCTCTGTCGGTGTCCAAAAGATGTAAGAGATGGCAGAAAAGGTTGTCAGATTGTGGTTTCACACCTCCTTTTCTCCAACTTTAAAAAGAGGAGAAACTTAAAAAAATGAATCTAACTTTGTTTTAGACTCCACATTTCACTTCTGTCTCTACAATAAAGGCACTGGTTGCCCAAAAAAGATGTGTGTTGCTTGATAAGAGGTAAACGATCAATAAGGGCTAGGGTAAAGATCAAAGTGGGGTACTCATTTGACGCCAGGTGCACTAAACCAGATCTACCAAAGGCTGCAAACACTGCCAATGAATCCACCAATCGCACCGTTAGTAAGAAATCATGTTCACCTCAAGATGTGTCGCGTTTAGGGCTCTTAAGGTCACGACAGCGCTTTCAAAAAGGTGAGATTGTGGGACGAAAAGCACCTAACCCTGACTCTCACAAGAGATGAGGTCACAATAATTGATATACTAGTTTTGGGTCTCTGTCGGTGTCCAAAAGATGTAAGAGACCCAAAACTACTATATCAATTGTTGTGAGAGTCAGGGTTAGGTACTTTTTGTCCCACAATCTCACCTTTTGAAAGGGCTGTTGTGACCTTAAGAGCCCTAAACATGGCACATCTTTAGGGCTCTTAAGGTCACAACAGCGCTTTCAAAAAGGTGAGATTGTGGGACGAAAAGCACCTAACCCTGACTCTCAAAAGAGATGAGGTCACAATAATTGATATACTAGTTGTGGGTCTCTGTCGGTGTCCAAAAGATGTAAGGGACCCAAAACTACTATATCAATTGTTGTGAGAGTCAGGGTTAGGTGCTGACATATCTTTAGGGTAATATGATTTCTTACTAACGGTGCGATGGCTCACTAAACCAGATCTGCCAAATGCTGCAAACCCTGCAAATGAATCCAGGTGCAAGATGCCATCGCACCATTAGTAAGAAAACATGTTACCCTAAAGATAGGTCATATTCACAGCCCTTTCAAAAGGTGAGATTGTAGGACAAAAAGCACCTAACCTTGACTCTCACAACAATTGACAGAGTAGTTTGGGGTCCCTGTCGGTGTCCAAAAAATGTAAGAGATGGCAGAAAAGGTTGTCAGATTGTGATTTCACAACTCCTTTTCTCCAACTTTAAAAGGAGGAGAAACTTAAGAAAATGTATCTAACTTAGTTTTAGACTCCACATTTCACTGGCACTGGTTACCTTGAGGTAAAAGATCAGTCATTCCCAGCGTTAGGGTTACGATCTAAGTGTGTTTTGAGATTTCTATTACCATTTATTTCATCTATCTATATTCTCTCAGCGTATTCATTTCACGCCTGATCCACTAGATGCTGCAAACACTATCAATTCATCCACGTGAACGTAGGCTCTCTGTAAGTGTGCCTAAGGGGCGGCAAAACAAAGTGTCCACTTATGACCTGAGGCCGACTGCACTGTGGTAACCTACTTAACGGGAAGCAACTAAGGACGAGTCTTTCTTTATTTGAGGATATACTGCAGACATGTCTTTACTCCTGTGTTATTGTTTTGAATGGAAGTCTCACATGTCTTCATCTTG